GTTTTCATGAGCGGGTGTGGTTTGAATTTACGCATCAAGAATCATTAGATATCTTCTTACGGAGTTGATATCGGTAATTTTCGTTGTGCGCACCGTGTTTTACGTGAAATTTTGGTTAAGAAACATGTATCAGGATGCTGAAATTCGTACCTTGTCTAGTGGTCCATTCTCAGGGTTCTCCCTTAATTTTTGGTCTAAGAACTAATACTCTGCTTAATTCCTGAACAGATTTTGTGCGCAATACCTGTTTCTCTACAAGGTGGTAAAGTAGTGCTGGGTTCACACTATTTTGCGGGTACAGCAAGGGCAAAAATTTCAATGAAAGTAAAAAATGTAGGCTCTAATGAGCATCAGTATCAAAAAGGTTTAAACATTTTAATTAGAGTCGAAAATTTTAACTCTATAATGAGAATCAGCAGAGTGTGGGCCCAGCAATATTTTAATACCTTGTTAATACACGTTGTAAAGTTCGGGCCACGTTAATTTTCTTGTGTTTTTTGAGAGGTTTTACTATATCGTGACCTGATGCGCGAAAATCCATAAGAAATGCCCAAAAATCTAGAAATTATAAATTTTTCGCTCGACTATTAAATCGTTATTTAGAGTGCTGGAGAACCACCTGAATCTTGTTTGGTACACTGCTTAACACGGGAAAACGGGAATTTCGCAAAAATACCTTGAAAGTTTCGTGTTTGATCGTGAAAAAATATTCATAGATATCACCGCACTCTTCACTGATTTTGGCTCTATCAAGAAATAGATCGTATTTTGCAATTTGGAACTCCAATTTCTCGACCAAGTTCTACCGAGTTCTTACCGACATGTCGGAAATTGTAGTTCCGAATTAAATCGTGTCGTGCAAAAACCGCTAAGGTCCATTTTTCCAATCTTGAGTTTTTTCCTGTCGACAGTGCTTTTCCGATCTTCTTAAATCCAACCATGAAAGTAGTGTCAATATTTGGTTGAGGGTTATCCTCATCCCAAAATGAGTATTCGCACCTATTTCATGATTGTATCAACTCTTGAAAAGTATTATCAACGTAAAAGCCTGAAAGCTGTAAAGATGGACATTAGCGGTTTTCGCACGACACGATTTAATTCGGAACTACAATTTCTGACTTGTCGGTAAATATACTTATGTGCATAAGGAGTCTAATGGTTCAGTAAATGGGTGTGTTTCCACGGAGACAGAAACTGTATGCGTAGTTCCGAATCGCAAAATATAGTCAATTTCTTAAAGGCGCCAAAATCTAGGCGAAATGTTGTAAAATCTATGAATATTTTTTCACGATCAAACACGAAACTTTCAAGATATCTGTGCTAAAATCTCGTTCTCCCGTGTTGAGCAGTGTGAGTTCGCACGACACGATTTAACTGCAAAATGTATTTCAAATAAGTTCGAGTTAACGATTTTAGCAAAACCATTCAGCAAGAAGGTGAGATATAAGTACTGTCGTATCTTACGCATGCTGAGTCCCTGAAAGTAAAAGTTCCCACCATTACAGGGACATTAGTGGAAGGTCTCCATTTGTCTGCATCCTTGCGTGAGAACGGTGCGAGAGTTGGCTACTCCCTCAATTTCCTCAGGTAACAATCGAAGACACTGATTCTGTTTGTTTTGCGCAGGGCGTAAGATAAAAGCGGCGTTTCGCTGATTGAATCCCGAATCTCGATCGGGAACAAAGCCCCGAAGACGCGATAAAAATCGGGGCGGATCGAGATTAATCCGGGTGCGAACAACCCCCCAACCCCACCCCTACTCGGAGGGACGCGCGGGGGAGGCTAAACACACAGATATATCAATCCGAGGAAAGCTAAAGCGACATAATAAGTTGTTGTGTGAAAGGTAACAATTTGAAACAGTGACCTAAATCAAGATTCGGGCTTCAATCCTGGAGGAGGGGAGAGGAGGGGGCGGGGGGTCCCTAATTTCGAAAGTGGAACAGGTGTTGGGGATCGGGAAGACAATGCGAGGCGAAAGGGATTGATAGCGTTAATAAGACGCTGCGNGGGGGGGGGGGGGGGGGGACGAACACACACAGGTATGCGGATTATACGCCGACACGCAAACGACTATACAGGGTGATTTCAAATTGTGGGACCGTAGGAGTGTCCCGGGCATGGATAGTAGGATCGCCACAGTCCCTAATACCATTTTGAAACGGAAAAATGGCGATATTTTGAAAGTAAGCTGCAATTTTTCGACAAAGTTTTAGCGATTTAATCGCGGGGATTATCAACATCTGAGCGATTATCCTCAATTTTGTCTCGATATAATCGCATTCGATGAAATCGAAATTTTATCTCAATTCACACGAGTTTTTTTTCGATAATATTGCGATAAATCGTCGTCAATAAGATCGTGATGTTATTCCAAATTAATGCGATTAAATCGCGATTTTTCATCCGATAACATTTCAATTGGCGGATCCAGCAATTTGGCAACACCGGATTTCATCCATTTAAACCTATGGAAATGTATCGACTCTTGGAAGGGACGGATACTTTGACAAGAATCGATTATTTAGCAAAGGTTTAAATAGAGGAAATTCGGTGTTGCCAAATTGCTGGATTCGCGTCTGTACATTTCAATAAATCGACGTCGATAAAGTTGCGGTATATTCTCCGATCAAATCGCAACTTATCGCGATCACTGGTACTTGGTGTCGAGAAAAAATGGGTTAACTTAAAACTTTTTTGAGGGAGGGAACAAAATGAACCAAAAGTCAAAGAAATGATGCATTTTGCAGTTGACGAAGTTTCACGTGTCGCATATCCTACAGCCTCAGTTTACCTTTCGACGAGACCGGAAAATCTTACAATCATTATTTTCATCCCGTATTGTGTAAAATATCAAGGCATATTCACAAAACTGGTCAGGAGAACCTGAAAAAGTCGGGAGGTTCTATTTCGCGTTGCAGCGCAACACAGTGGCAAATCTCGTCCCTAGATCACATGAAATCACCTTAAAAGTCACATGAGATAGTTTGGTTGCTCTTTTAAAACACCACTACTTGGTTCCTCTCTAAAAGAAGTACACTGGAAAAAAAAAAACACATTGAATCTAGAGTCCAGACTCTGAAAAGACAAGAAAAAATACTCTTGATTGAATCGGATTTTTGCTTTAATCAAAACGAAATCCGCTTAAATTAAGAGGCTTGGTTCTTGATTTAAGCTAGATTCTGATTGAATCAAGAGCACTTTTTCTTGTCGATGTTTTTAAGAGTCTGGACTCTAGATTCAATGTGTTTTTTTTTCCAGTGTACCACGAGACACCCTGTAGAAAGGTACGTGCACAGACCCAGGTGAAAAAATGGGAAGAAATCCGCTGGTCCTGATCCAGTGTGACCGAAAGCCGGAGCGACTCCATCTCGCAGGGCGGAGGGGATGACGCGGGGTGCGGGGGCGTTGTCAAAACAGAGGGTGAAACATCCCAACATCCGAGATACATCGACCAACAGCCCCGCGACCAATCGCCGACCCCGAAAACCCATCCATCACCGGCACCGCGCTGATGGTTGGTTGATGGCGAGTTTATTTGTTTCGGGAACAGTCAACACGTGAGCCTATTAATTACCGTTTCGTCGGGATCAGCCCGTTCGCTCGCATCCCCTCGGGGGCGTCAAACTCTGCCCCTTTCGTGAAACCTGCTTAGTTACAATAGAAATCATGGATAGATACGCGGTTCTTCCTGGCTACGTCCTTCGCTTCAGCTTGAATCCTTTCAGGTGTATCTTCTGAACCACGTAGTAAGACATTTTGCCGCGCGGGGCGCCACTTCTGCCTTTTGATTTCTTTAAAAGTCTTTTGCTAAGAGACCACGAGGATCGTAATTTGAACTGTGGACGGTGCATAATGGTGTGAAAGCGCCATACTAGGGGCCAAAAATTAGAAAATGATCAGAATATCATGAAAATGGGTATTTTCATGATTTAGGGGGCGCTGAGTCCAAATTTGACCTCAAAGCCTTTAGATCCTCATTTTACAATGGGCCTGTTGCAAACTTTTGGTAGAGCAAAAATAAGAGTTGTTTCCTATACGACATCGATAATGTCTGAAAAATCACGATGAGCGTATGGGCAAAGTCTGAAATGCACTCATAACTGCACAATCTGCGTAAGAAATTTGCGGTTTTTTGAGCTTCCCGCGTCAAAAACGATACTACGGCACAGGTGAACATTTTGCCAGAGGAGTCGTTCCATCGTCGACAATATTCATCGTGATCGTGCCTCAATCGTGATTTCTGAGACATTGTTTATAAGAAACAACTCTTATTTTTGCTCTAGCAAAAGTTTGCAACAGGCCCATTGACACAGATAATTAGCTGATATTGGTTCTGGAAAAGTTAGGACTGTTCGATTCCGTTTGCATTCTCAGTGACAAAGTGAATTATTTTATACTAAAAACTCTTTAAACCATAAAAAGCTGTAAAATGCAAGAAAAATCCGCTCCCTTTTTCTAGACTTCTTTCTTTCGACTCGCAACTTCTACGGGTTGAATACAAATATTTTAACTCTGCATATGTGCGTAAAGTACCTCGTATGTTTGAAAGTAGTGTAGAGGGTCAATTTCACAAAAAAAAAATCGCCATGAAAATATTGTAGTTCTTGCTAGTTTAAGATATTAAAATGTTTCAGGTCATACAAATATTTTAACTCCGCGGGTGTGCATGAAGTATCTCGACTTTTGAAGGCCTTTTTAAGACTTGATGTTCACAGTGTTTGTGGATAGAAAGTCACATGTAGCTCTTGCTACTGGTATTCTAATTCTTCAGGTGATACAAATATTTTAACTCCGCGGATGTGCGTGAAGTATTTCGACTTTTGAAGGCATTTTGTGTTTTGATTTTTTCATTGTTCGCGGATAGAAACTCGCAAATATTTGCAACTCTGTTTTTACTTCTATAAGGCGGAACTCAGAATCTTTTGCGTGATTGGCCGACGTTTCAGTTGTGTGAACCTGCTTTTGACTAATCTCTTTCGTTTTTTCTTCCGTTTCAGATGATATTGAAGTAACGTCCCGCCGAAAATATTCGAAGCGAGCTGACAAGCATTGTAAGTACTTTTTAAAATGTTTTATCGGGTCCTTGTTTAAAAAATAATGGAGTGCCGTCTGCCAGCAATGACTACCAAACTATGGATCTCAATGGACCGCGATACAATGTCTAAATTAAAAGAAAGCCACAATCTTTTCTTTCCGAAATCTTATACTCAGAGAATGATTCACGCAAACGGAACTTCTGTAATCGACTCCTGAATAACGAGAAACTAAAAAATATTTTTAACATGGATCAAATTATAAACAGATCTTAGAAATGACGTCATCTATATGTTTGCCAATTCACCTACGTTAATTTTACACACTTATATCTTATTTAGAAGTTGATTTTCAGACTTCCCGTCCTGAGGTTCATTTTCTTGCATCGTGAAATTTTGAAAAATAAACATTTTCAATTCACACTTTTTCTATTGGCCCCTTGTGGTTTTTTTTTGTAAAAAAATTACCACGCCCTCTATATCTTTTTTAAAGACTATGTATTACATGACGTTTTTGCACAAAATTTTTAGAGAATATTCTTGGATGGTCAAAGAAAAATTGTATTCGGGTATTTCAAGTACCCTGAATCTTCGAGGGGCAATTTTCAAAACATATCTCACAAATGGACCCATTTATGTTAAAAGGAACTATGTGCATAGGGTTTCCGTGCAACATAGTTCCTTTTCGCATAAAAACGTCCAAATATATATTTTATTGGAGGAAATTCGGCAACATTCGAATGCTCATACGTTACTCCACTTCAGCGGGGCAGCATTAAGCTGGGAAAAGAGTCCGAGTTCGTGAATTAACGGATTCGAGGGGATGACCT